GAGCATGAAGCTGACTTCACGGCCAATCAGGAAGCCAGGGGGTGGGTTACTGATTGGCCGGGAAGCAAGCTCCACGATCCCCGGTGACGAAGGAGTATGAAGCTAGCTTCCCAGCCAATCAGGAAGCTGGGGGCCAGGTAATGACTCGCCACCCAGCGTCTTGATTGGCCAGCTTTCCAACCAATCAGGAAGCTGGGTGGCAAATCATTACTACCCGATTGGCCAGGAAACCGGCTCCATGCTTCCTCGTCACCAAGTGACAAGGGAGCATGGAGCCGGCTTCCCAGCCAATCAGAAAGCCAGGGGGCCAACATCACGCCACTCCGACTGCTGTTCGTCCACGCTGCTTAACCGGAAGGTGGCAGGAGTGACGGCGCTCATCTCTGGCAGCAGGAACGAGCTGAAGAGGAGAACCATCATTCACCACAGCAGAGGGAGGGTGACCGGTCAGCCTGACACTCCTGTGTATGTATTCAAAGGGGAACACATGCAGAGGATTGTTGGCAGCAGTGAACAGCTTTAAAAGAGCATCACTCTACAGGAGCGCTGTACCACTGTCTCCAATCCTGGCCTAACTCGCACGCCCCGTTGGGTTGGCGCCATGATGGGCACACGCTCACAGCAGATTATTTCTGCATGCCAAGGACAGAGGGCAGTGGTTACAGTGCTCTTCTGTGCTGTAGCTCCTCCATAGGAACACACATACATTGGGCTTGTATCTGGGATGGAGCCGACAGCCAGGAGATTATTGCACAATGCGCCCATGGATCAGAATGGAACCAAGTGCCCCATGCACTTGGTCCCCTGGGGAATCGGACAATGATTTGGAAATGATGGTGAGACTTCTTCTTTAAAGTTACTGAAAAAGTCAAGCTAAGCAATCACTTCAATGAAAACAAAAGTGCTGAAAGAAAACCACTCACGCTCAACATTACATTTGGTGGCAAAGTACTTACAGTGCAAGTGAGACACAGAGCACGAGAGGGCCCCATAAATCCCCTGAAAGAGAACAAAGTAAACATCAACCACTGACAGAGGTTAACTGACTGTCAACCAACACAAATCTACAGTCACAAACACCCATCCGAGGGCCCAAGACAGTTAACCTCTTAAAGTAAAATGGGAACTTTGGTAGATCTCGTGTAGCTCGTCATTTGAAAAGTAGATCTTAACACAAAAAATTGTGGGCACCCCTGCTCTAAGCTGTGGGAGAGCCTGCTGCTGAGTGAAAAGGCTGACTGCTGGCGAAACACTAAAACGGAACTAGAGCTGCCTATTTGTGGTGGGGAACCCATTTGAGGGCACCCTGTTAGTCAGTGGTTTGGGCAAGTCCTGTGTAATGCTATAGACTTGCTGTACAATGCCCTCCTACATTGATGAGATGTTTGTGTGCTTCCTTGCTGAATGAAGAGCAGGACAAACCTGCATGGACTGTCCTGGGTGTCCCTGTCTCGTGCAGTTTCAAAGTTTCAAGCCGCCCCCCCGCAATATAAAAATATTAACCCCTTCTGGACTGAGGCCTTTTTTTCCATTTTTTGCACCCATGTTATATTCCACATTTTAGGCCTGAAAATGACTTAGAACCCCCCAAACATTATATATTTTATGAATGCCAAGACCCTATAGAATAAAATGGTGGTAGTTGCAAATTTTTATGTTGCGCACTATTAGCGCAACTCCTTATTAAACCCCAACATTTAGTGAAAAAGTTTATTAAATGCCCCAAAACACAACAAAATACCCATTCAATATAAAAGATGAGGTTACAACGAGTAAAACGATACCCAACATGCCCAGGTTACAAATTGCGTGCGTCCGTGAAACGGCGAAAAACTGCAGTACCCCAAAAAGTCCGTAGAAGATGCTTTAAAAGCCCCCACAGGTCATCAATTTAGAGATACCCCAAAATACTGGCCCTAAAATTAATGCTCTCACTCCGGCGTGCGCGGCGATACCCAACATGTGTAGCGCGTTCGTCGTTTTCATATGTAGACGCACCCGACGTGTGTTTAGATTTAATTTTAAAAAACTTTTTTTTACTTTTGACTGCTATCACATGGGGGGGCTTACAAGCCCCCCCATGTGATAGCAGATGAGGTTAAATACACACTGTGACAACACAGGTCACCCCAGGGTAGTCCATTATCTAGTTTGCAGATGCCACTACAACCTTCCTTTGATTGCACGCGCTGCTTCTGTATACTCACAGTCTCTCAGGAGGGCTGTGCTCTTCTTAGGGTACATGACGTGGAAAAACTTTTTCCCCACAGCTTTCAGGTCCCGCATCTGAAAAGAAGTCATAAAATCACGTGTTGGGGCACTGACCAGCAAATATTCCATCGTTACACTACAAAGAAGACAAACTAACAAAGACAATCTGATATGTTTTTATCAAGCTGTATAATCAGCACACACGCAGAACTGGCACAGCGTAACCTTCAAAATGCAAACACATGATGGCAATCGAAGGTCTAACACAAGATCGAGGACGGTATGCTCCGCTCTGGTATGTAGGCGTTTTTCGTGTGTTTAGCGATTTATAAAAATTTAAACTTTTGCACTTTTAGACAAAGTGCACTTATCCTTTTTGCCCCACACCTGTCTAAAATGACCCTAGCTCACCGCAGATCTGTACTTACCAAGATCCAAGGGCCACTGCTCTGCAGGTCTCCCTTTACTGCTATGTCTATCCCCCTGCTGGAATACAGCCCCACAGTGTCAAGTCTAAGGAGCTGTAATGTGAAGGTGCGGCCAGCAGAGGGAGCACTGCGGATGTAAACAGTGAAACTGTGCCCATGAGATCTCGGCAAGCACGGATCAGGGGGAGGAAGGGAGGAGGAGCGGAGCATTCGGGTCGAGGGGAGGAGCGGAGCATTTCGGTCAAGGGGAGGGTGGAGCGGATCATTCAGGTCGAGGGAGGAGCGGAGCATTCGGGTCGAGGGGAAGAAGAGAGGATCATTCGGGTCGAGGGGAAGAAGGGAGGAGAGGATCATTCGGGTCGAGGGGGAGGATTCAGGTCGAGGGGAGGGAGGAGCGGATCATTCAGGTCGAGGGGAGGGAGGAGCGGATCATTCAGGTCCAGTGGAGGGGGCAGAAAGAAGAAGCATACTTTGTCTTAAAGCGCACTTGTCCTTTAAGTCATTTCTCGGCTTGTTTGTGTCTTACGTACAATTGTATCTTTTACGGGTTCGTCCAATGTAGACAGATCGTCGTCCGGGGACTGGGAGGCCATGGGCACTGTGATCTCTCCCTCCACGGGAATGTCTCCGGATATGGACACATCGGACAATCCTGCAAACTGAAGGACAACAAACAATCATATAATCTTGTTTCTGGAACATTTGAGCAGAATAATTGATGTTAAAGGCTGAACTCCGGACAACCAGCGAGATACATCACTGACATACAGGAGCCGTTCTACCTGTCAAAGGATTTGTATATCTGTCCACCCAGTCCTGAGAGTTACACAGCTCTGCCACACAGCACAGCCAGGCAGGTGAACTGACTTTTCACAGCTGCAGTTAAGCAATACATGGAAATAACCTGTCGGCCCCCAGCCTGTATTTCAACAGTGAACAGTGGTGACGTACTGATGAGGTCATCCCTCTGCTCTCCTTTCCCATCAGCATGTTCCTGGTCAACATACAGTATATAACACAATGTTACCCCTCCCCCTGTTCAGTCTGTGTGCTTCTGTACAATGGATTGCAAGAGACTGATACTGAGTCAAATGTAGGCATCTCCAGGCCAGTCCATGTTGCATGTGAGGCGTACCCTGGGCCGGTCCTTGTTGCACGCCCAGAGGGGTACCCTGGGCCGGTCCGTGTTGCACGCCCAGAGGGGTACCCTGGGCCGGTCCGTGTTGCACGCCCAGAGGGGTACCCTGGGCCGGTCCGTGTTGCACGCCCAGAGGGGTACCCTGGGCCGGTCCGTGTTGCACGCCCAGTGTTGCACGTCTAGAGGCGTACCCTGGGCCGGTCCGTGTTGCACGTCTAGAGGCGTACCCTGGGCCGGTCCGTGTTGCACGTCTAGAAGCGTACCCTGGGCCGGTCCGTGTTGCACGTCTAGAAGCGTACCCTGGGCCGGTCCGTGTTGCACGTCTAGAAGCGTACCCTGGGCCGGGCCATGTTGCATGTTGGGGGTACACCCAGGGACAGTCTGTGTTGCAAGTTGGGGGTGCATCCATGTTGGATGTATACCCTCGGCCAGTTGTCCTGTGCTTGGAGATAAATCAATCACCCCATACTTCTGGGTATGTAGGAGCATGTGACTCCATGTGACAGCACTGGGCCAATCAGAGCTGTCAGAAGGAATCTCATAGTGACGACTTCAGGAAATCACAGGACTTCCTTTCTCTCCCAGCAGCATCGCCCACCCAGGGGAGCACTGATGTCAATGTCCTGGTCATGTGACGGCACTTGGGCCTAGCGATTGTTTTCAAGACCCTGTCACAGGGGAGGAGGTCACATGATTCCCCATACCTGGAAGTATCAGGAATTCTCCCCACCTGCATGGCCATGGTGATAAAGTCTCTCTAAAGAGAACCTGTCATTCTTTCCTGAATAGGTGACAGGGTCTCTTTAATGGCGCCTGCACAGCTGTCACGCAGTATAAGACTACATCAGCCCCTAGGTTCCATTACATACAATCTATTCACAGTGTACAGAGCTCTCACCAGCCGCGTCCCGTCCTCCTCCTGGCTTTCCCCGTTCTCCGCCATGTCTCCGGTTCCTTTCCGTCTCTGTGTGTGTTGTGACGTGGAGTCTGATCCAAGCACGTCACCGCTCCGCGACCAGGATCAACTTCCGCTCCTGCCGCTCAGTTAATACGTCACTACCCGAGCGTTTGCGTGTCCATGGCAACCACGTACATGTTAACGCTGGGCTGCAGAGTGCAAGCCACTTGGCCCGTACCCGAGATGCGAGGTTGAGGCATGCGCAGTTTTGCCCTCACAGCCAGGTTTGTCACATGGTACAGACCAGCCTCGGCCCACTGACATCTTATATTGGGGGTGGGGGTGATTTAGTACATAAGTGCACCGAGAATATGTAGATGGGGGTCTTTTTTTATTTTTAGGCTCCCCTAGGCAGTGTTAAAAAATAGTAAATAAAAAAAAGCGATTTACCTGTTATAGTTACTACGGAGCTGTCACTTGCAGTACCCTTTCTTCACCACTGGATGTCCTCAGTCTTCCAGCTTGAATCATGCTCATTGTGACTCAATCCAGAAGACTGAGGACATACAGGGAGTGCAGCAAAAACATTGGCAATGATGGCAAACCTAGGGTAACAATGCTCACTCATACTGTATCGATAAATGAGCAGCGTTGCCACCCTATGAAAGGACAACAGAACACCTGTACTACCATATAGTTGGTGTGATGGTCGGGTGTCTACACTCTGTTGGCCATATACTAGGCGTGATGGTCCGGTGTCCACACTCTGTTGGTCATATACTAGGTCTGAAGGTCAGGTGACCACACTCTGTGGGCCATATAGTAGGTATGATGGTCCGGGGTCCACACTCTGTGGGCCATATAGTAGGTATGATGGTCGGGTGTCCACACTCTGTTGGCCATATAGTAGGTATGATGGTCGGGTGTCCACACTCTGTTGGCCATATAGTAGGTGTGATGGTCAGGTGTCCACACTCTGTCGGCCATATAGTAGGTGTGATGGTCGGGTGTCCACACTCTGTCGGCCATATAGTTGGTGTGATGGTCGGGTGTCCACACTCTGTTGGTCATATAGTAGGTGTGATGGTCGGGTGTCCACACTCTGTTGGTCATATAGTAGGTGTGATGGTCAGGTGACCACACTCTGTTGGTCATATAGTAGGTGTGATGGTCAGGTGTCCACACTCTGTTGGTGTCACGCCTGTCAGTGATTTGGGGTTTGTGGATCGCAACTGCGATCCACAAACCCCCAGGGTTCTCAGGCGGGAACCCTGATTTCACTCTCAGTCTTAAGGGAGAGTTAGGGTTTCAAGCATCACAGCCTCAAAATAACAAATATGTGGTTCAGAGGGGGTTATTCCTTCATAAGCCCTCCCCGTAAGCACCAGAGATCAATTTAGGAGTTTACTGAGTACAGGTCAGGGAGAGAGCACCAAAAGCAATACAGGCTATAAATGAGGCTCCAGCTAGTAGTAAGGCATTATATGCAAGTCCACAATGGCATTCAGTATCTATGGCAGGTGTGCAGATGCACAGAGTATTTGCGGTTGTGGTGGAGGAGTAGATGGAAGGAGCTGTGGGGTCCTTTGGGAGTCCGGTCCGTAGGTGCGTGGCTGGAAGGCACAGGCTGGTGGTTATGGAGGGTCCCAGGAGACAGCAGGCGTTCTGGCTCAATAGTGGAACGCCATGCTGTCTCGTCTGGGCACATGCTCATTGTGACTCAATCCAGAAGACTGAGGACATACAGGGAGTGCAGCAAAAACATTGGCAATGATGGCAAACCTAGGGTAACAATGCTCACTCATACTGTATCGATAAATGAGCAGCGTTGCCACCCTATGAAAGGACAACAGAACACCTGTACTACCATATAGTTGGTGTGATGGTCGGGTGTCTACACTCTGTTGGCCATATACTAGGCGTGATGGTCCGGTGTCCACACTCTGTTGGTCATATACTAGGTCTGAAGGTCAGGTGACCACACTCTGTGGGCCATATAGTAGGTATGATGGTCCGGGGTCCACACTCTGTGGGCCATATAGTAGGTATGATGGTCGGGTGTCCACACTCTGTTGGCCATATAGTAGGTATGATGGTCGGGTGTCCACACTCTGTTGGCCATATAGTAGGTGTGATGGTCAGGTGACCACACTCTGTTGGTCATATAGTAGGTGTGATGGTCAGGTGTCCACACTCTGTTGGTGTCACGCCTGTCAGTGATTTGGGGTTTGTGGATCGCAACTGCGATCCACAAACCCCCAGGGTTCTCAGGCGGGAACCCTGATTTCACTCTCAGTCTTAAGGGAGAGTTAGGGTTTCAAGCATCACAGCCTCAAAATAACAAATATGTGGTTCAGAGGGGGTTATTCCTTCATAAGCCCTCCCCGTAAGCACCAGAGATCAATTTAGGAGTTTACTGAGTACAGGTCAGGGAGAGAGCACCAAAAGCAATACAGGCTATAAATGAGGCTCCAGCTAGTAGTAAGGCATTATATGCAAGTCCACAATGGCATTCAGTATCTATGGCAGGTGTGCAGATGCACAGAGTATTTGCGGTTGTGGTGGAGGAGTAGATGGAAGGAGCTGTGGGGTCCTTTGGGAGTCCGGTCCGTAGGTGCGTGGCTGGAAGGCACAGGCTGGTGGTTATGGAGGGTCCCAGGAGACAGCAGGCGTTCTGGCTCAATAGTGGAACGCCATGCTGTCTCGTCTGGGCGTTTATATAGGGCTATGGAGAGGAGGAGGAGCCGCGGCACGCAACGGCGCACTTCCGCGTTCCACGGTGGAACGCAGCCGGCCCGCGAACCGGAAGTGACGAGCGTGCACTCCACCATGGAACGAGAGCGGCCGAGAGAAGAAGCAGCTGGCTGCGGCGTCACTGGTCCCTGCTAGAGCTGACGGCGGCGGCCGTTACAGTTGGCCATATAGTAGGTGTGATGGTCAGGTGACCACACTCTGCTGGCCATATAGTAGGTGTGATGGTCAGGTGACCACACTCTGTCGGCCATATAGTAGGTGTGATGGTCAGGTGTCCACACTCTGTTGGTCATATAGCAGGTGTGAAGGTCAGGTGACCACACTCTGTTGGTCATATAGTAGGTGTGAAGGTCAGGTGACCACACTCTGTCGGCCATATAGTAGGTGTGATGGTCAGGTGACCACACTCTGCCGGCCATTTAGTAGGTCTGAAGGTCAGGTGACCACACTCTGCCGGCCATATAGTAGGTGTGATGGTCAGGTGACCACACTCTGCCGGCCATATAGTAGGTGTGAAGGTCAGGTGACCACACTCTGCCGGCCACGTCTGTGTACAATGAACAGAAGACTTCTCCTTTAACGCTTTGCACCATTCATGTCTGAATAGACCGGTGGGATTACTGACACGCCGCTGGAACGTGGGAGCATTGTGACGGCAACAATGGCTGCGTGGGGAGGACGGTGACGCCGAATAATCTCACTGCCAGCTCAGATTTGGGTTCATGTTCCTCGTGAGTACAATACGGGGAAAGGAAAACAGAAACATTCCTTAGTTCTACATGGAGAACCTCCGCCGGGTTCATATCGCTGTCCTCGGGGATACCAGTAAATTGAAACGGAAGTGAGAAATGTTCCTGCTGTGTCCCCATTGGGGTAATCTCCCCTCACTTCCTGTCCCAGGTAGGGCAGTGCCTAGGAGGGCGGGGTTACAGTGGCTGGCACTACGCCTCAAAGATTAAAGCTGACACTTAATCTTCTGAATGCCTGCAGCAGACTGATGGCATCATCACAGCCTAGGCAAAGTCACAGACTGGAGCTCAAGGACGGCTTTTTAATGATACAGTTGCTGTTGTGACAGGCAGCGGGATGTAACGCCCGAGCCACGTGCGCGTTGCGCAAAGAATGCGGCGACATGTTCCGAAAATAGATATAAAGTATCTCTCGGGGAGCGTCCGCTGTACATTGAATTCCATATCTTCCCGACACGTTTCCTGTGACAAAGTGGAATTCCTCGTCTCTCCCGAATGATATTCCGCCGTCTTCGGAGCAGCTTTACGATAAACGACAAGAAAGCAGAAATTGCCCGCGAGGGATTGCGCAACTGTCGCCCCCACCCGGCAGAAGATACCGCCATGCGGCTCCTTTGTTGTGCGGCGTCAGCGGGATCCGCATCCTCTTCCATCGTTATCGGTCCGGCCCAGAATCTCTAAACATAGATGTTGTGGTTTACCATGTCAACAGCTTCCAGCGAAAGTTTCACGCCGTGCGCGCGTATGGCGGCCTGCAAGGACAGCCGCAGGGGAATGGAAAGTGAATGCCCCCGGCACTGCAAGGGTTAACTGCTGGTTTATGCCCCCCCCCAGCTGTCAACACTCTCTCTCCCCACCCCCCTCCACTCCAGCTGTGGACCCTTCCTCACCATTCTCACATATAATGCAGGTCTATAGGGCACCCCACCTCCGCCTTCTCTGACCCCCCAACTACCTGAATTGTGGGGTTCCCCCCCTCCCCCCCGCTTTGGCTGTGGACTCTCCCTCTGCCTCCTCACCTATAATACAGGTCTACAGAGCAACCCACCACCCCAGCTCCTCATATATAATGCAGGTCTATAGGGCACCCCACCTCCGCCTTCTCTGACCCCCCAACTACCTGAATTGTGGGGTTCCCCCCCTCCCCCCCGCTTTGGCTGTGGACTCTCCCTCTGCCTCCTCACCTATAATACAGGTCTACAGAGCAACCCACCACCCCAGCTCCTCATATATAATGCAGGTCTATAGGGCACCCCACCTCCGCCTTCTCTGACCCCCCAACTACATAAATCAGGGGGGTTCTTCTCCCCCCACTTTGGCTGTGCACTCTCCCTCACCGCCCTCACATATAATGCAGGTCTATAGGGCACCCCACCTCCGCCTTCTCTGACCCCCCAACTACATAAATCAGGGGGGTTCTTCTCCCCCCACTTTGGCTGTGCACTCTCCCTCACCGCCCTCACATATAATGCAGGCCTGTAGGGCAACCCTCCCACCCCACCCCCTCCTGCCCTGACCCACCACAACTACACGATTGGCTGGGTACTTCTTTACCTCCGCCCCCCTCTCTGCTCCGGTTTTGGACTGCCCCTTGGCATCCTCATGTGATATGCCGGTCT